GAAGTGCTGGGATTACAGGCGTGAGCCACGCACGCAGCCTGGCTATGCTATTTCTCATTCCGTTCTATTAATAATAAAAAAACTTGGTAGTTTTAACCTACAGTTGATAAAGGTTTCATTGGTTAAGGGAAAGAACACAGCATTTGGAAGCAGTCATACCTGAATCCCTTATGTGTGTGTGACTTCATCTCTCTGAACATGTTTCTTAATTTGTAAAATTGAGATAACTAATACTTACCCTACAGGATTCTTGTGAAGTTCAAAAGAGTTAATAGAAAGCACATTGCTTTATCAACTATTCAACTCTATGTAAATTTTAATTAACACTAATAGAATGTGAGTGATGTGAATAGTCTTGTGAATGATGGTTGTGACGTGAATGATTTTGTGAACAGCACACTAGATGTTTACAATTAAAGTTGTTCACAGAACACAGATTAGCTTCTAATCTGACAGTTATGTGATTTTATGTATTTGTGGTTTTAAAAAATATCTTTCATTGGCAGGGTTTAAAATATTTTGTACTTGGGACATCTGTTTTTTAAAAAATTTTTATCTATTTATTTTGAGACTGGATTATGAGACTAGCGAATTTTTGTATTTTTGGTAGAGGCAAGGTCTCACTACCCTGGTAGCGGCTGGTCTTGAACTCATGGGCTCAACCGATCCACCGGCCTTGGCCTCCCAAAGTGCTGGGATTACAGGTGTGAGCCACCGCACCCAACCTGTGTGGGACATCTTAATTTCATGCTGCCTTCCCAGAAGTTGAAACAGTATTTAAAAAAAAAAAAAAAAAAAAAAAAAAAAAAAAAGATGAGGATGAAGGGGTCTGTCTGTCTTTCTTTCTTTTTTAGTGTTCAAAAACGCTAACTTGAACCAGAAGAATAGGGATCTTTCATCAATGTCTTGAACACTTGCTATGTCCAGGCATATGCTAAGTGCTTCACATAACACATTTCATTTTATCTCAATAACTTTAAGCAGTAGGTTCAATAGAAATCTATATTATATGAATGAAGAAATAAAGAATTAAGAGAAATTAAGCAAACCACTTGAGGTCGTAGTATAAATGTAGAGTTGAATTTAAACCTAGGCTGTCATCACCAGCCTTTTTTTTTTTTTTTTTAAGTGGGAGTCCTAGCCAGAGCAATTAGCCTTCTTCTTTTTCCGTAGGGCAAGAAAAGCTTATCAGTTCTGAACCATTAGATAAATTCAAAAAGATCAAAACTCCTGATTTTGAATCACAACATTAATAACACTTCCCTTTCATACAATTAGGTAAATACCTAATTAGCAGGCAATAGATTGCAGCTGCTAAAAGAAGGCGTTTGACATGTTCTCACGCACAGGTGGGAATTGCGCCTGGCCTAGATTCTTTAAAACGTGGTATATTTTTATAGTTTATAAAGGTGTTACATACCTTTGTGTAAGCAATCTAATTTATTTTACTTCTTATTTTATTATTATTTTTTGAGATGTAGTCTCACTCTGTTGCCCAGACTGGAGTACAGTGGTGTGATCGCGGCTCACTGCAACCTCCTCCT